TTGCTAGTTGTATCTTTCATTTGATACAGTCTGGTGTCTGTGTCTCCTTTTGTTAGACTGAGCCAGGCACACCGTTCATTCGATACCCTCCTGGAGTCTATGATTTCTTTTGCCTTAGTCAGCAGTCTTCACTGCTGAGGCATATGCCATTTCCCTGATTTCTCTTGCCTTCTTTAATAATCAAATTCTGTATTTTGATAATGATAACGATTAGTGGAAAACTACTTTTTACCACATAACTCTGACCAGTCTTGTTAGAAGACTGCTTTTTAATTAGAAAATATAGGATTTTCTAGAAAGGACTATATTTCACTGTATACTTGAAAACTACTACTTATATAAAGTTTTGTATAAAATGACACTAAATACTTATGAACTCACCAGCATTTGTAAAAATGCTGATACTCGCTTTTCAAATAACTTGTATTCTTAGGTCAGCATTAGACAGGTACATTCCAGGAGCTTTTGATGAAGATAGCTTAGTACCAAGATGTACTTATATCATTACTTGTATTTCTTTGATGTATTGTAATGTAAACTATGTAAAACTATTACTATTAATGCAATGTTTTGTTGTACTTTGATTACTATAATGTATGTGTTGTGATACTTGACATCACGTCATCCACCCCAGAACATTTCCGCCGTTCCTGTTTTGGGGTGTGACAAAGGCCAACCCATTAGATATGTTATCCTAGCATTGTTAGTATGATTGAGTATGAAGTTAGTGTTGCATGCTAATGGTTATGCCAGTTAGGTGGATATGTAGGACTACATGCGTTGTTATATGATTATCTGCATGCTCGGTGGTTATGTTATATGTTGATATGTATGTGGGATGGGTTGAGATGATACTGCTCCGTGCGGTAACCAACAAACCCAGGAGCATTCCAGTTACGAGCTAAGGGAGACTCGTACTATGGACTCGATGGCAATCCAGTTGTGAGATGTGGGCCCGAAAGGCAATCCAGACTCACACTGTAGGCCTAGGGGTAATACAGTATACAAAGTTGTGGACCCATTGCATGTTGTTTAGTTTGTTATGTTATGATATTGCTGATAGGGTTATGTGGATTGTATGTGTATCAGTATTTTGGGGGAACTCACTACGCTTTCGGGCTTACAATTTCAGTTTATTGTTTCAGATACATCAGGGGATCGCGGCAAAGCGAAAGCATGATCGTACAGCTTCTCCTGTTTTGTTTATGGTTATGGGAAAACTCTGATATTGAACTATTTTGAAAACAAGATTGTAATAATTGTTGATTTTGAATGTTTTGAAACGTTTTTAATTGGCTTGAATTCTTGAGATGTTACAGGAAGCTGGTTGAATATGTTTACATGAGTCAGCTAGAGGGTTTTGTTGATGCAAAGTTTCCCAATAGAGTGTGCAAGCTTGAGAAATCCATTTATGGATCAAAACAAGCATCTCGCAGCTGGAGCCTTTGCTTCCATGATAAATTCAAAGAATTTGGATTCTCTAGAATTGAAGATGAGTCCTAGGTGTATGACAAAGCCAGTGGGAGTATATGAACGTTTCTAGTATTATATGTTTCTGACATACTACTTATAGGAAACGACATTCCAACCTTGCAAGAAATAAAATCTTGGCTTAGAAAGTGTTTTGCTATGAAGGATCTAGGAGATGATGCTTATATTCTCGGGATAAGAATCTTGAGAGATAGAATGAAAAGACTAATTGGACTTAGTCAAAGTAGGTACTAAAATGGTTTGGTATGGAAAATTCCAAGAAAGGAGAGCTACATATTCAGATCAATGCCAAATTGAGTAAAGCCTCAAAGCTCCAGTATGGATCAAGAGATGGTTGATATGAGTTGAGTACTCTATTCTTCGACTGTAAGATCGATCATGTATGCTATGAAATGTATTCTCCCTGATGTGTCCTTTGCTTTGAGCATGGTCATTTTATATCAGGGAAATTCTGGCAGAGCTCACTAGACAACAGTAAACAACATTCTCAAGTATATGCGGAGAACAAAGGATATGATTCTAGTCTTTGGAGGCAGTGATATGTTGAGAGTGATTGGGTATAGTGATGCAAGGTTTCATACATATAGAGATAATTTTTGTTCTCAATCTGGCTGGATGTATTCAGAAATCTTGTGAAGGTCTAGCTCAGCTCATCGATTTGACCCCCAACTCGCTGAGTTATTGCATGATCAAGCTCATCGGGACAAACCCTCACCGACTCGTCGAGTCGGCTCATTGACTCGGTGAGTCCATTCAAACTCAATCCTCAATCAGACGATTCTAAGCAGATCTACAGCCCTACACTCCAGATCTACCCTCATAAGGCTCGAATAGCATGTAAAGCTGCAAGCTTTATGTTCATACATGGCATATAGGGCTTATAATGCCAATACATACACCAACAAGGGCTAGATGAACAAGAGCTTGACTCCAACTCAATAAAGCTCGAGTCTATGGACTCATAAGGCCACTTATAGTCCAGATTTGAGGTTCCAACCTCAAGCCATGCACAAATCAGTCCATGACACAAGATAGATGGAAGAAAACCCTAAAATTCCCCTAAAACAAGATCTCATCAGGAAATGGTCAAGCTAGCATCTTTTTACCTCCAACTGAAGCACAACTTTGAAGAGTTTCTGGATCCAAAAGCCTCCTCTTGATCCAAGCTTGATGCTCTCCCCTTCTTCTTCCAAAAGGTCACAACATGCCCAAAATTATGTCTCTTCTCTCTATTAGCTCCCTCTAAGCGAATAGGGTTCCTCTCTAGAAGTAAGGTGGCTAATGGGGAGGCTTAAGGTCCTTTAAATAAGACACAACCCCGATCTGCCCAATACCTACTCGGCGAGTCGACCCTCTGAATCGTCGAGTCCATCATTAATGTCACACAGACAACTCTACTCTACTCGACGAGTTGGACTCACAACTCGTCGAGTCACTACATAAATCTCAAAGTTAAACACCTTAATGCACCTGAAAGCCTAGATGTTACAGCCTATTTGAAGTACCATGACTACTTGAAACTGGGTGCATGTTTAGGACCATTTGAAACCGAATAATATCCAATCAGATAAACTTTAACGACTTTAGGTATGTAGTAGGGGGGGGGGGGGCAGTAAGAACATGAAGAGCATGTAGTTCCATGGAATTATAGAGGTGATAAACCTATTCTTTCTTCTTGCCTTAGCATGCTTGCCATTTTTTTGCATTTTTGAGGTGCTATTAGGAATGGTGGAGGCTGTCAGCAGTAGAAGGAAACATGAGCTTAGAGCTTCCTATCGGAGGGAGGGAGAGAGAGAGAGAGAAAGAGAGAGAGAGAGAGAGAGAGAGAAAGAGAGAAAGAGAGAGATTAATGGATGAGGTGACAGTGACTAACATAATTAATATGCTGATTAAGAAGTGATTAGAAAGAGGTTCACGAAATGACTCCTTTATTTTTCTTAGAAGGACCTTTTAAACCCTAAAAATATAAATTCATACCCTTAGAATGCGAAGAAAAAAAAAACAAAAATTACCTTTTAAACCAAAACATTTAAATTTGTTGATATTTTCCCTTCCATTTTAAGTGGTGTGGTGTGTATGAAGAAAAATCAGAGTACGTTTGATTTCATGTTTTTGGTTAAATTTGTATTTTTCACTATTAATCAAAGGGAAAATGACTTATGAGGGTAAATACCTTTTATCCGTGTTCACATATTGGCAACTTCTTCTTTTTTGTACATAATAAAGCAACTAACTTGTTTTAACTGTTTAAATTACACCAATATTACCGGTTAATACATGTTTTAACCGGTAACTCAAATGAAAAATGACTTAGGAGGGTAACTACCTCTTATCCGTGTTCACATATTGGCAACTTCTTATTTTTTGTACATAAGAAAGAAACTAACTTGTTTTAACTGTGTAACATCCCAAAAATCATGAACAATAATACTAAAACCATAATTGTCAAACCATTAAGTTAATACTTCGACATCAGGCCCCGTCTGGCATCGAGCCCCGCTCGGTATACATATCTGTCTCTCTTAGGTCCCGCCTACTAAACACATGCAATCATATAACATGCTAACACATAAAGAAACATACTCTACCGTATCCCTGTCCTAAGAAACACACTCTGCTAATAATGAGATACGAAATTTCATCCGTAGTCAACTAGTTCCGGCAAGGGCTTCAGCCGTGCATGGTGAGTCTCCTCACTGTGTGAATGGGTCTAAGGCCACAATGTCAGACCATGTAGTCTATGAGTAGGAAGACCCAGGGGTTAGCCTTAGGCATTTTATGCTAGTATGTTATTCCAGACCAAGGTCCGATGTCGGGCGGGTGCCCGAGGAATGTTTGCATGTTAGATTATACTTGTTGTCTGTGTGATACTTGTATGTGCCTGGTAAGGAAGTGAGTGTGGGCGAGGTTCCATATCTCATCACTAGCTGAGTACGGACGATGTTCCGTATCTTATTATTAGCAGAGTATATTTCTCAGGACAGAGATATAGTAGAGTATGTTTCTTTATGTGTTAGCATGTTATATGATTATATGTGTTTAGCGGGCGGGGCCTGGAGATAGGCGAGGCCTAAGAGAGACAAACCTGTATACCGAGCGAGGCTCGATGCCAGGCAGGGCCGGATGTCAGAGTATTAAATTAATGGTTTGACAAAAGTATTAAATTAAAAACGAAATTTTTGGTCATGATTTTTGGGATGTTACACAGTTAAAACAAGTTAGTTGCTTTTTATGTACAAAAAATAAGAAGTTGCCAACATGTGAACACGGATAAGAGGTAGTTACCCTCCTAAATCATTTTCCCTTTGAGTTACTAGTTAAAACAGATATTTGCTGGTAATATTAGTGTAATTTAAACAGTGAAAACAAGTTAGTTGTTTTATTATGTCCAAAAAAGAAGAAATTACCACTATGTAAACACGGATAAAAGGTAGTTATCCTCTTAAATTATTTTCTTTTACTAAAATAAAAATTTGTCTTTTATAATTTATAGTGTGAATTGTGATACACTGACACTAGAGTGCACACCATTCAAACTTCGAACATTGAACGGAGGTGCGAACTGCGAAGATCAACGCGACTCGATTTCACCAGCTCCTGAGTCCTGAATACGTTTGTGGTTGTTTTTTGCGGCTTTTCCTTCTCTAAACCTAGTTTGGAAAAATAACAATTGTTTCACTGACGCAGCAAGAGAAAGGAAGAGTGCCATTTAAGGGTTTCCACAGGTATTATTTGTTCTCTCTTTGGCCCACTTCAATTAGGGTTTCTGTTCTATTCTACTCCTTTTACTATGTTATTTTGTTACATTTCATGGCGTAACTGTATATTCTTTACATTTGTACTCGCTTTGTTATATGAAAATCTTCGTGCATTACTACGGAATTAAGGAATGTGATTGGTTGTGATCTATGTTCCCTTTTGCGTTTGTTCATTAATAATTTGTCTCACTGAAGTGGTGTCTTACCTGTGTTAGGTTAACTTGACTTTGCGTAACTTGAACATCATATGAGCAACTGTTACTTTGTTCTTCTCTTTCAACCAAACACTCAAGAAACTTACCTTGTATGAAGTTCCAAATACTCGTGTTCCGCGTGTTTTATATAACTTTCTTCCATGGTAGGGTATTGTGTTTTTTGCTCTCGTTCTGTTCTTATGGTAATTAGATTTGTGTCATATCATGCTAATTGTAGATTAAACATGGCAACTTGAGAGACTTGAAAAGTAATTCCTAGTTAGGCTGAAGCTGATAGTATATCAAAGACCAAATTCTTTATGGCGTCTTGATTAAAGTTCAAAAATGGTTTTAACTTAAGCACATCATGACATCAGTCATCTGATATGTTTTGATTCTTTTTTTCGTTTGTGATATTTCACATGTGTAGATGGTTGCATATTTCGTGGGCCACATGATATTGTCTTCAAAGACATGCCATCATCTTCTTCTGCCATATACCAAACTGATGAAAAGCTTTGTTGCTTGTTTCTTTCCCATTTTTCTCAAGTTTGGGAAACAGAAAGCCAACATGTTTTTCTTTTCTTGTGGCCAAATCTTTGTATCTAAATCAGATGTCATTCTGAAAAACCACACATTAACATGACACTTAATACTCAACAAGTGAGCCTAAACATGATATTTGCCTAGATTGATGCCTGCAATCAAATTAAGAAGATTGCAACATCCTTTGGGAATATGTGTGGATTTGCATTCTTTTCATTTTGCCAAACTAAAATAAGTCTTATGAAGCTAATGATGAATACCACAGTCACAGAAGCAGTCACTAAAACTTCTTGAGATAGTTATTATGAGCACCCAAAGGTTTGCAAGGTTAATAAACATCTGATTTTGATGCATGTTATTTGAACCTAACCTGTTCTAAACCATACCGATTTTCCACCTTTATTATTTGCAATAGAGTATGCTCTTGATTTGTCCTGAACATACGTCATAAAACCTACTCCCATTTATGATTTTGAGGTTGTTTTGGTATTCCAGGTTATACTTGATTTTGGTAAAAAAGCATAGAATCATAATCAAAAGGTGACTCCATGAGTGGTAAACGCAGAAGGTCTGAAACTTCATGGGACATGAAAAAAGACAAAATCCCTCCTCCAGAATCCAATGATTCTTGGAGGCCATCTTGGGAAGGAAACAGAAAAGAGCCCAGAAATGATGACATCAGCAGAGACAACAAACATAGGACTTTTGATGATGAATGGGGAAAACAACATACCACATACAGGTTTGTTTTTGTTTGTTTGTTTGTTTGTTTTTATATCAATCATCTTTATAAGTATTGTACGTTTGTTTTCGATGAAGGGCATTTATGTCTTTTGCACACATGAGCTTGTTGATGGTGAGTGTATGTGCAGGGATCGAAGCAGGACTCCCATTCAAAGTAGGAGCAGGAGTAGAGGCAGAGAGTGGGAAAGTAGGAGGAGCCCATTTTATGATGATAGACATAGACACAAATCTAATGACTATGGAGATCATGTAAGAAACAATGCAAGAGGTGATAACATGAAAGAAAGTTGGAGGCATAATAGATCAGATCATCTCTCTGGTGGTGGTTCCAGATACAGCAGATTCCCTCACCATAAAGATGACAGAAATCATGATGATGATGATGATGATGATGACAGGTGTCGATCAAATCGAGTTACTAAAATCCAATGCAAATTTTTTGCTGTAGGTAAATGCTATCGTGATAATTGTAAGTTTTCTCATGATGCTTCTGCTTCACACTCACAAGATTATGATCAAAGGTCACATGACAACATTCGGGCCCACATGAATAGCACATGGCATCATGATCATGATCATGATCAACATCCACATGCATCAGATTTGTCTGAAAAGAAAAAGTCATGGGGTGATGTGGAATCAGGAGGTTTTCATGAAAACAAGAAAACAACATGGGAATGGGATTCTCATGACAAGAAAAAATCATGGGATGATGATGATGCATCAAACCCTAATTTAGATAACAAAAACAGATCATGGAATGGTCCTTCATGGGATGATGATAATCATGAAAAAACAAAGTCAAAGTCATGGAATGGTCCATCGTGGGATGATTCAGGATTAAACAAAAAAGTTTGTGAGAAAAATGATTACTTTTTGCCTAAACAACATAATGTGGCCAATGATTCTCATATAAACAATGAGAATATAGTTTCTGAAGAACAACCCAGCAAACAAATTCTTACATCTGTAGAAGAACAAGTTGAAAATGGGAAGACTCCAAAAAAGAAACAGGAAGTAATTGGAAATCTAGCTGAAAATGCTCAGAAAGAACAAGAACATATCAACACTGAAAAAGTCGAAAAGGGTAGTATTGGAAATGATGAAAAGTCTACACAACAATGTAGGGAAATAGATCCAAATCATGTAAGAAGTAATTCTGGAGGTGATAATTTGAAAAAAGAAAGTTGGAGTCACAGACAAGATCACTCAAGATCCAGCAGCCATAATAGAAATTCAAGGAAACATTATGATGATGGTGATGATGTTAAAGATGACAGGTGTCATCAATCAAATCGAGTTACTAACATCCAATGCAAGTTTTTTGCTGCAGGTAATTGCAAGCGTGATGATTGTAAATTTTCTCATGATGTTTCAGATGCACGGAATTATGATCGTAGGTCACATGACAACCCTCGGGCCCACAAAAAGATGACATGGCATGACGATGACTTAAAAGCATCGGATTTGTCTGAAAAGCACAAGTCATCATGGAATGGTCCTACGTGGGATGATGTGGAATCGGGAAGTTTTAATGAAAAAAACAAGAAAACAACATGGGATTCTCATGATTTTGATGACAAGAAAAAGTCAACAACACGGGATGATATGTCAAACCCTAATTCGGATAACAAAAACAAGTCATGGGATGATGTGGAATCAGGTGGTTTTAACGAAAACAAGAAAACAGCATGGGAATCTCAGAATTGTGATGACAAGAGAAAGTCAACAAAACGGGATGATATGTCAAACCTTAATTTGGATAACAAAAACATGTCATGGGATGAGGTAGATGCATCAAAGTCAAATGCAAAATCGGGGAATAATATAGATGAAAAGTCAAAGTCATGGGTCAAAATGGATAATAATAGTAATAATAAGAAGATGAGAAATGAGAAGAATGATCACTTTTTGCCTCAACAACATAATGTGGTCAATGATTCTCATATAAACAATGATAATGTAGTTTCTGAAGAAGAACCAAATCAACAGATTGTTACAACAGAGCAAAACCTCACGAATGCCATAGATTACCTTAAGTCACTTCCCAATTCTACTACACACAATCAAGAGGGAAACAATAATGTCATGGAGATTGAAAACGGGAAGACTCCAAAAAAGAAGCAGGAGGAAACAGTTGGAAAAGGAAAAGGAAGTGAAAATGAAAAGGGGAAAGAGGGTAATAATGGAAATGATGAAAAGTGTATGCGACAATTTAGGGCTGCCCTTGTGGAATTTGTGAAGGAGATTCTGAAGCCGAAATGGAAAGAAGGTAGGATGACAAGAGAGGTTTACAAAAGTGTCGTGAAGAAAGTCATTGATAAAATCACAACTACTATTCAACAAGTCCAAATCCCTAAAACACAACCAAAGATTGAGCTGTATCTCACCCACTCTAAACCCAAAATCACGAAGCTTGTGGAGGTAAGTCGTGAATACTGAATACCATTTTTCATTTTTCATTTTGTATTTATTATTATTAGATAAAATTTTTCTCATTTTTTCATGCAGGCATATGTTGAAAAACTTGTAAAGGCTTAGCTTAGCTTAGCTTAGCTAGCAAATGCTTGAGAAATGTTTTGGAATTGGATGTTGTTTTATAGGAGTAGCTTCAGAATTTAAATATGCGTATATAGCAAAAAGTGTTCTTGATCGTTACAATTTGTATTTTGAAAACATGTCTGTGCAACTGCTTTTGTTTTTGGTTGTTTCTAGAAAAATCTGAATTTTAGTTTGAGGCAAGTCGTCGGCTATAACCCATTTTATAACCCATTTCCTAGAAAAATCTGATTTGGTGTGGTAAATTAGTATTTTAAATATTACATATTATATATATATTGTTGATTTTAAGGGTTAATTTGTACAGAGAAAATGATTATATTTTGTTTCCATTCATTTTTTTGGTTAAATAAAAATACTATAGATTAATAAATAAATAGAATTAGTGAAAAACTAGGAAAACGCCCATGGTTTAGAAGAGTTTCTATTTTTCTATTTTGATTGTCCAAATGTAATGGATTTGCATGGTAAAGTGGATTTCGTTACTTCAGATTCATACATAAGCAAAAGATGTAAAATGCATTGGTTCATATGTAAGCAAAATGCATAATATTCAGAAAAGAAGGGTGGATTTCTGCCTATGCTTTTGATAGTGCAAATGTAATGGAAGCAAAAGATGTGAAATACATTCGTTCATATGTAAGCAAAAACTGTAAAAAAGAAAACAACTGGTGTGTGTGTGTTTTTTTTTTTTTTTTTTTTTTTCTCAAGTAGTATGAGCATCTTAGGGTTTCATGGTCGGTGATGCTGGATGTCGATAGCAGCTGTTGTGTAAGAGGTTGGGATTCCAGGTTATTTGGCGCTTGACGGCTGCATTTGTAAGTGGATATCTGAGTGAGGACTTTAGTAGTATGAGTAAGTCTAGTTAGGTGATGTGTTAGTGTGTTAGTGTGTTACTACTCTCTCTTGATTAAAGTATTAATTGTATGTAGTATAAGGTATGATGCTTATGAATTACTGTAATTAAATTGTATTGGTCAGAAAGAGAGATGGAATAATATTGTTGGACAAATAATAGGTGGATGGATAGTTATCTTGTTAACATTAATTTTTCTTGTTTGTTTTATAATTTTTTATTTTTTTTAATGAAGTGTTTAAATTATAGATATTGTAAATTAAATTTATGTTATCCTTTATCAATGTAAATATATAGTTATTAATGATTAACGATTTAAGGTTTGTTGTTGTTTTGGAAAATGTAATTTAATTGTGTTGTAATGTTGGGTTTTTGTTATTACTAAATTATTTGTATATCCAAAACTATTTTTGAATATGTTGATTATTATGAGATTTATATCTTTATAGTGTGGTTTATTAAATATTACGTTGATTAGTTCGCTATGATTTTTATGGATGCAATATTGGGTTTATGGTTAAAATATTTAACCCTTTTTGTAATGAAAAAAATGACATATAGGTTTTATAATGTTTTTAAGATTTACTCATTTAACCACTTAATTTATTTTGTGCCTTAATAAGGGAACGAAGTATCTGTTACCTATTAATATAATCTCTTTCACCTATCGTAGCCGGTTTACATTGCTAAATATACATAGCCTAACACATAAGCAATGACATGACAAGAATTTAAATCATCGAACTACCACAATTACATCGTATTGAATGTGAATCGTAACGAACACGATTCGACTGTTCAGGCGCCTCCATATAAAATCAAGACTTTGTTGCCTTAAATGGCAAATCTGCAAACTTCATTACCCCAATCTCGTCTCTGAGTTTACTCCAAAATGCCTTCGATCAGACATGCATAACACAACTAGTCTCCAAACTACCCTCGTCACATGGATGAGAATCATTCCAATGGTGTAACCAACGAAGACATGGCCATTAATCTACTGCAAACCCAGCTGGAACTGTCTCGTATACAGGTGGACTTCCAAGACCAATTGCATGAGCTCCGTCAGGCAGTTAATCGAGACTTGGATGCCATGAATTGTGAGGTCGATGACGTTCGCACTGGTCAGTTGGATATCTCAAATCTCGTTGCTGATCTTAAACATCATTTCGTTTCTCTGCAAGGAGCATATATGAAGATGGTCTTCCTGCACAAGAAACGTAAGAAGCTAAAGTATAGTATTGGGATTGTTGGTGTTGTTACTGTGTCTGTGGTGACGTATATGTTCTTTAACTAAAAAAAGTTGTGTAGGTTGAAACATTTCAGTCTTGGGTTTGTGTTTTGGTATGTTATTTATGTTGTTTAGTGTCGATATTAGTATTAGATTTTGTGTCTGTTGCTGGTAATAGTTTGTGAAGTTGGTGTGTAGATTTGGTGGTAGTGTTGCCTGGGCTGCTGATGGTCATCGTTTTTTGATAAAGTTTTTTGTCGATAATCTTTGTAATAGGTTATTCAATAGCCAAAAGTGATGTAAACAAACCCATGGCTGAAATGTTTTTATAATATGTTATTATTAAAAAAAATGTCTTACACCTGTATCTTTGTGTGTGTGCATGAAAGAAAGAAACATTTGGGGATTATATATGTTTCATTAACTTGTTCCCAATCATGTGGATGTCCATCGACTGGGATGGGACCACAAGCCTAAGCAAAATGAATATACATTTTTTTATGCACATAGACAAGGACCACAAATGGTGCAGTTTGGGAAAAAGGGACAAAGCTAAACAATACCTTTGCACATGAGGCATTGTGTCTGCTTATCTGCAAACCTTTTTGGGATTTTTTTTTTTTCTAAAATGGACTTTTTTCATGTTTGATTGTTAACATTGCACAACAGTTGAATGGATTAAGTCACAACTACCATGTTGCAGACAATAACTTAATTACCCCCACATCCAAAATGGTCAATTTATATGACTTAATTACCCCCACATCCAAAATGATCAATTTAAAATGAATTAATTACCCCTACATCCAAAATGGTCAATTTATATGACTTAATTACCCCCACATCCAAAATGGTCAATTTACAATGACTTAATTACCCCTATACTTGATTACATAATGTAACTGTTTAAACCACCGTAAATAACCATATTACCTCTACTTTTTGGTTTACTTTGTAATGACTAAAATACCCATAACACCCCTATAACAACATACCACAAAATAAAACAACATAGTAGACCATAAAAGAACATAACATAGATCATTTGTTTATTGCAACACACATTCACTACAAATACCAAACAATTATCTAATCCAACTCCATGGCCATTGCAAGACTACTACTTTCACCTCCCACATTGCAAGCTTCATTTTAATGAATCTTTCTGACTTCTTTTGTTTGTTAGGTGGTTTAACATGCTTAACTTGATGAACAAAAGCATTAACCTTCACCTCTTCCTCCCGTCCATTGACTCCCACCATTTTCTCTTCCTTACCAGTCCTCTCCAATGCATCACTAGCATCTACCATTACCTCATCATCCCCAACCCATGTGGCAACGTTTACAGACTCCTGCGTAGGTATAACCTTTTGTTTCTTTGTCCCATTTTGTTTGGATGGCCCTACAACTTTACTACAAGTAGCCTTGTTGTGTCCTTTCTCTTTGTATATGCTACAAGAAGCTTTCTTCCTTGCCTTTGAGACAGTGTGTTTTCCCATCCGTTCAGAAGCATCCATTTTTCTCTTTATGGTTGGCTTGCCTGGCATACGTCTTTTCGATGGAGGCCAAGGGGGTATCAAATCAGTAGAAGGCCACATATTTTTTCCATTCATCCCATGGATTGGCTGTTTGTAAGTATTATGGTAGAATGCATCCAAGTACATTGGATCTACATATGGACCATAAGGTGTGATATTTAAGTAGGCTAAGGTGGCAACTGAGTGTACACAACCATATCCATTAAGTTTCTATAGCCTGCAACTGCATTCCTTTTTTCCAACATGAACAATAAACGCCTCGTCCATTTTCCTTGCCTCAAACTTCATCCCCCCCACAAGATATGACCTGCCAATGCCTATATAGATGAAAACCGTAAATATCATGAGATGTGAAGAATAAGGTACATGTGTAATTGAATAAATGTACAAACCTTTGCTCATTCTGGAGCATATTCAACCGTATTATGATATCTGGACAAACAGAATAACGATTCCATCCTTGTCCAGTTAGTTTCATAGTCACGATCCTTTGCATCACATATATACGAATGTCCTCTAACATTCTTATGACTGGTTTCTTCCGGGCATCCAAAAGCACACTATTAAAACTCTCTGAAAAACCATTCTCTACCGACTCACAAGAATTATGAACTCTGAAAAAATCCAAAGACCAAGTCTTTGGATCTCTATACATAAGATGCAAAACTGCTTCCGGGTTTAGGTTTCCAATCTATTTCATAACTACATTAAATTGTGTTTCAGTTGTTGCCTTGCTCGCTTTCCAAAACAAATTTTCAAACTTGGCTCCACTAAATCTCTTTCTAAAATTCACATGGATATGTCTAGCACACTGCCTATGTTCGGCTGCTGGAAATACTTCCTTTACTACCTCAATCAGTCACATTAATGTTTGAAATTAGAATAGAAATTACTAATTTTAGAACATGAAATAGTTATGAAGCATACCTTGTGTTGATACGGAATTAGAACCAAACCTTGTCCGTCATTCCAACATTGCAAATCTTCTGAAAGAGTTTCTATGAACCATTTCTGTAACAGCCCGAAATTTCTAGGTATTTATTATTATTGTATTTCTGGAGAATTGTGAGTGGACTCGACGAGTTGGAGCTCAAACTAGCTGAGTAGGATCGCGATTTGGATGCGGGTTCGCGTCTGGACTCGGCGAGTCCACGCTGTTTAATGAAACCCTAATTTCCAGGGTTTGAGACCTATTTAAAGGGGCTTATGGCCGTCATTTGCGGCCACCAACCCCTAGAGAGAAACCCTAAAGAGATTTGAGCGTTTTGGGAGAGAAAAGAGGCAATTGTTGACCTTTGAAGCTTGGTTTGGCAAGGTAAAGGAGATTCTAGCTAAGAGAAGGCAAGGGAAGTGAACATTCTTCGATTTTGGAGCTCAGAGCATCATCTTGGAGGTATATCTTGGCTTCCTTTTCGGTTTTTATGATGAACATGGGGTTTTAGGGTTTCTTGACCCCTTTGTTGGTTAGATTTGATGTCCATTTCGTCCCTATTCGTGATGAGGCTTGAGATGAGATCCATAGAGGTCCAGAAGAGCTGTATTCCTTAAGCTGTATGAGGGTTCATGAGAGTATTGGCCTAGAGTTATGAGATATGGGGCTAAAACATCATTTATGAGCAAATAGTTGTTGTTTGAGCCCCAAGGATTGGACTTTACGTGATTATCATGCTTGGGGAGGCCAGATCTATGAATGTATGGAACAGATCTGACCTCATAAGTGAGTTTGAGTTGATGCATGGCATGGACTCGCCGAGTCTGAAGAACAGACTCGACGAGTAGCATGAAGATTGTCCAGAACCACTCAGCAAGTGGTCTTGCCGAGTTAAGGGATTGACTCAGTGAGTCAGGGAGAGTCAGAGTGGGTTGACAGGTGGACTGAGTCAAGCTGGAACTCGCCGAGTTGTTCTTGAGACTCGGCGAGTTGAGTCGTGGTAGCCCCGCAACTCATGCCAGGTGGAACTCATCGAGTTAGGAGAATACTCGATGTGTCGAGTGAGGATCCTAGGGAATCAGTGGATGCGCATAGACTAGCCGAGTCGCTATAGTGCACTCGCCGAGTCCGGTCAAAGTTGACCGTTGACCGTTGACCAGTGTTGACTTAGTGGGGTTAGTCAACCTTAGTTGTGAAAATGTTAAAGATGTATTGTATTATAGGAAGATTATAGCTCTGGGGATCGAGTGCGAGTGGGTTCAGGGATTTGCGAACTATCGAGATACACGAGGTGAGTCTTCTCACTATACTTTACCTTGAGTAGGTAACCAGAGTTATGTGATAGAGTATTTGTATGCTATGTATGTTATGTATTGTACTGCATTATTTCTATGTGATTTATGTTGTGCATGTTTACAGAGTTAGAATCGGAAGGTTCCCAGAGTTAGAACCTGAGGGTTCACAGAGTTTGGGTGCACGGACCCACAGAGTTATAGCCTCGAGTGGCTAATATGTGTTATATGTGGTATTTTGGGTAACTCACTAAGCTTCGTGCTTACAGTTTTTTGTGTTATGTGTTTCAGGTTTCTCACAGGATCACAGGACGACACCGACTTGATTGTACACACCAGCGAAAGAGTTATATTTCGAGGATCTTGGTTTATTATGCAAGTGAAAATGGAGTTATGTTTTGTCATCTGATCATGAATAAGATTTTAAGAAAAGTGTTTTTAAGAATTAAACCATTATATTTAAATGAAAAATTTGTTTTGAAATTTACAGTGTTTCAATTTCCATTTCTCTTTGTTTTCCACACAAACAACCGCCCAAGCAATCGGGAATATTCCATTGTTAGCATCTCTACCCACAACACAAAGCAACTCCCCTTGAAAAAAACTTTTTAGAAAACAACCATCCTGGTTAATGATCCTCCTACATGCTCCCCTCTATCCCTCTTTTACTGAAGCAAAACATGTGTATATCTTGCTGAAATAATTCTTACCATCAGGCATTGCATCAACACAAATTTTAACTATGCATCCAGGTAAATGATCTTCTAATCTCCTCACCATATGACCATATTCTTGCATAATTTTCATCTATTGTGCCTTCAACTAGACTCAATGCATACTTTTTGGCTCTCCTACACTGACTCATACTCACATTAATCACAAAAGCAGTTTTTACCTCCTCCCTAAGCAGTCAGACACTCATCTTTTGATTGTTATAAAATTGGTGCTTAAAGTGGGTCCCTATCCATTTTAGGTCATAATTGATCTGAATTTGAAATTTTTTGCGTAATTATGTTCACTGATAAGAGACTTTATCTGGAAAGACTTATCATCACTCATCCAAGAACCCCAAAGCCTAAAAGTACATTTTCCATCACAACATTTGACAAGTAATCATCTAGTATCATTCTTAACAAAACATAATTGATAACCATTCACGACAACATAGGTACAAAGCTTGCGTTTCAATTGTTTAGGACTCTCAAACCTCATACCTAACACAAGTTCTTGCTCCTTTCAATTGAGCTTATCATTGAAAATATTTGGCAATTCGGGATAAACATCTTCATTGTCACCCATGTCTTCTTCGAAAGACTTACCAACACCTGTATTCTCACCCATGTATACTTGAATCCCATTATCCTTTATAAAAAAAGAGGATTCTGATGGTCATCCTCATCGTCATCGACATCCTCATCCTCATCGTCATCCTCATCGCTATTCTCTTCCTTATCGTCAGTGTTGTGACATCCTCAATTTCACGGTCAGAAAAGACCGATTTGTTTATGCTTTGTTTTTAAAATCAGAGTAATCTTTTACAGAAGATAGTTGCAGAATTTGTTCCCAAAAAAAAAAATGATAATAATTTATCAAAGCATTTCTTTAAAGAAATGTATTTTCATTATATAATAAAATCTCGGGATGTCATGTTCAATATAGACCAAAAGCATAAACAGAACCTAATAGACCTTACAATAGTTATTCATAACTACTGGCCTATAATCCAAAATCTCTCGTTATGTCAGCCAACTTATGCTCTCGTACCATAACCTGTAATACAAAGAAAACTGAGTGGGTCAGGCTTAGGAGCCTGATGAGCATATAGGATTTTCATCCCACAATGTTATATATATATATATATATATATATATATATATATATATATATATATTGATGAGATAAAAACCTTTAAGATCGAATAGATCTTTGAAACAGGTATATAAAGAATGTAAAGCAATACTCAAGAATGGATTTGAATATGTTGAATGATTAAACTTTCAATCCTCAGTAGAGCTCGATGAAGAACTTCCACTGTAGAGGATTCTGGGGTTACAAAAAGATAACTTCTATAATTACACCGTAAAACCCTAATCAATTGGTTACGTAAAAGATGCATGCAAGCATCTATAAATACACAAACCCTAGAAAATCAGATACGGATGGACAGGCCCATACCGCATAAAGAATGGACTAGGAAGCGAGCCCAAGACGCAACACCAATAACCCAACAATCTCCCCCTTTGCATCAATTGAGGCAAGACTTCACTCTAGCTTGCTTGCCCCCGCAGTACTGGCTTTCTTGACTGTCTTGAACAGGCAGGGGATGATGGCAAGAAGTGTTTGACGGAAGTGAATGTACCAGTTTATCATATCATTGAAGTACTTTTTATCACTATCCGTGTTCTGCTGCAACGATTGATTATACCCAGAACATGCTCTAGACAAGTAGTGGTGTAAAGATGTTTGTCAGCCAAAGCAAACAGGCATTTCTGGCCTTCTGCTCTAGTGAACATGACTGAGTTCTGTTTCGGGTCAATATTTCCCATCTTTATTCGGTTTATATCGCTAGCAGAACCCACTGGAGTGATGATGGGCTTCTTCCTCAGGATATTAGCAATCTCTTTGTCAAGCTTAGCCACATCCAAAATATAGCAAACCAACATTCTCTTGAAATGGTCTATGACCGGACCATATTCAGCTTCATTGACAAGAAGAATGTTGTGCAGAACGATCCAATCGTGAGGGTTGAGGTTGGA